GGGGGGGGGGGGGGGTTCAAACCCCGTTAACACGGACATTGAGCATGAGGGGGCCATAGAAAGTGTTCATATTAATGGGGTGTCCGGGGGGGTTGAATTAAGAGAATCGGCGATAGAAGCGGAATCATGAAGCATGAATCATAGTTACAAAACATGTAAGAATCATGAATCTTTGTTTTAAAAACTTGGGAATCATGAATCTTTGCACTTCAGCTCGGGAATCGTGAATAAAGAAACTCTGAGAAAAGCTCAACAAAATACACGTATGAATTAATTGCGTTCGATCCAGGAAATGCAGGATATGGCTTTTACGAGTGTTCAATTTTCAAACATTTTCCCGGGGAACATGCCCCTGGACCCCCCTATATAATTCGTGTAATTGGGGCTGACAGTCCGCTTGTTTCTCCAATAACCTTGTGCTTAATGTTCAGTGACAAAACAACTCCATGCTAAGACAAAATCTGAATTCGGAATCATGAATCACTGAGGCAAAAACGACAGGAATCATGAATATCAAGATTCAAATGATTCCGCTTCTGCCCCCGATAAGAGAAAATTTAAGGGATTTCTCACACCCCAGGGACAAAGCAAACTGTCCGTGACAATGCTGTGTTGCAGTTGTCCGTAAAGTTGGCTTTGGCTGTATTCATGAGTTTTCCATGTTGTGACAGAGCGAGGGCTTAATTCTCTTTCTTTATTTACGAAAGTGAATACACATTGTAGATAATTGTCAAAGGTACTTCCCCGAAAGGAAATAACAGACAGGAAGTGTTTTCAAACATAAATTTCACTTTCGGTGAACTGATCTCGACCTTTTGTTGACCTTCTGCAGGTACCTGATATATGTCGCTTCCCGTTCCATACGGGAAACCGAAATGAAGAAACGAAAACTGATTATCGCGATTGTGATTCGGGTACATTTATGAATGAAGTTGTGGTTGGTACATCATACGGTCTAAGACTCAACCACCACAACGTCGACAGTGAAAACGTCACGGAAGTGACTCTTCGCGCTGTTTTAAAATTCATTCGCTATTTTTACATCTCCCATAATACACTTTTTTGGCTCCTCAAAAGTTTGCGTAATCTCTGTTTTTAATTTCTCATGGGTATTTCAGTGGCCCCAAGAGAAAACAGTGGGGATAAACAAGGTGTATTATAGGAGATGTGCAAATGGCGAATCTTAGCCTGCCAACGTAGCATTTCCGGTCGTCACTTCTCTCTCTTAAGCAAGAATTGTTTCCGCTAACGTTTCGTTATAAAAAAAATATGAATTTAACAGAGTCAGGTAACATTTTTTTTCTGTAAGCAAGAGTTATTTCTGCTAATGTCGGAGACTGACTTCGAGAAGTTTTGATGTCTATTGTTTGCTATTTTTGACTCCTAAATAAACGGTCGTCGAAATCCCCACACAAACCCGAGAACAACTCTTCCTGCACTAGCTCTACCCGATGTTTTGTCACGTGATTCATCTGAGATCACGGGACATTTTTGATTACTTGAGGAAGTCCGCAAAGCATTATCGTCCCCAGATCCGCGATCTTTTTGCGGGTGGCGCTGGCCAAACTGATCACGGTCTGCGATGCTTAAAAAGGGTGCAAGTAACCGGACTGTCACAAGAAGTCTTTGGTGTCGGATTCATTACGTCGTAAAAGTTACCTTACACTACCTTCTGTTACATCGCTTCGAGATTCATTCTGTCTTGGAACTTTTGCGCACGGCTTTATTATGCTGCCGCCTCGCGAGGCTGCTCGTTGGCAATAAACGGGCTCAACTTTGTCGGAAATGATTATTTACATTATTTTACAAATATTTACAACATTACTACAGTCAACTGTCTATAAGACAAACTTCTAGGAAGTCTAGACATCTGGGCATGGTACCTTCCTTTCTTCAGTGCTGTACTCTTACTTTCTGTAAAGCCGACATCTCTCCTAGACGGACACTCATGTCGGTTCAATTCCAGTGGTGCCCGTCTCGGAGGGATTGACTTATTGTCTTCACGCAACGCTCCTTCCCAGTGACTACCCTAAAAACAGCTGCGACTATTGCGACAGCTGAGACTACGCAACCTACGGATGGGTTAGTTATCTGCTAGCAGGTAACTGACTAATCTGTAGGTTGCACGCGCAATGCATGATTTCCAACCACGACAGAAAACATGTTCTGTGCGACGGTGTGTTAGTTGTCGAAAACGTCACTTAAAAAGTGAATTTGCGCTGCCTCAAAACTCATCGCGCTTATTCCATCTAGTTTGATTCTTCAAATGTTGCCAATTTTTTTTTGTACTTGAATTCTATAGGACTGCATCAAAGTTCAGAAAAAGAAAAAGAAAGTTGTTGTCTTTTGGTCCTGTCCTCGACAAAACGTGAAATTAGGCAGGTTCACGTTGTAGTCGTGCAACGACAGAAGAGAAATGTGCAAAAAAGCGTGATGCACGTGCAAAGTTTTTGTTTTGCTTGTCTAAACCCACTGCTTTTTGCCCTTCTCGTTGCCATAGCCGTCGTTGTCATCGTTGCTTAAACTCCCTATTTTCTTCTAAACAATGTGTAATAAAACAATTATTAGATTCGGCTTTTGTGATATCCGGAATAATCAAGGTCTCGGTAAGTGTTATCAGCTTTGACCTTTTGGCTCGGCTGATAACACTTTCTTTTACCTCGACCTTGATTATTCCGAATATCACAAAAACCACATCCAATATTTATTTGTTGTCAACATCATTGTCATGCCTTAATCATCATTATCAGCTGTTATTATTATTCACAACATTATCGGCTTCTTAAATCATCCGTTATTCTAACCCCGTTAACACGGACACTGAGCATGAGGGGGCCATAGAAATTATCCATATTAATGGGGTGTCCGGGGGGGGGTTCAAACCCCGTTAACACGGACACTGAGCATGAGGGGGCCATAGAAAGTGTCCATATTAATGGGGTGTCCGGGGGGGTTGAATTAAGAGAATCGGGGATAGAAGCGGAATCATGAAGCATGAATCATAGTTACAAAACATGTAAGAATCATGAATCTTTGTTTTAAAAACTTGGGAATCACGAATCTTTGTACTTCGGCTCGGGAATCGTGAATAACGAAACTCTGAGAAGAGCTCAACAAAATACAAGTACGAATTAACTGCGTGCGATCCAGGGAATGCAGGATATGGCTTTTAGGAGAGTCCAATTTTCAAACATTTTCCCAGGGAACATGCCCCTGGACCCCCCTATATAATTCGTGTAATCGGGGCTGACAGTCCGCTTTTTTCTCCAATAACCTTGTGCTTAATGTTCAGTGACAAAAAAACTCCATGATAAGACAAAATCTGAATTCTTGTCGGAATCATGAATCACTGAGGCAAAAACGACAGGAATCATGAATATCAAGATTCAAATGATTCCGCTTCTACCCCCGATAAGAGAAAATTTAAGGGCTTTCTCACACCCCAGGGACAAAGCAAACTGTCCGTGACAATGCTGTGTTGCAGTTGTCCGTAAAGTTGGCTTTGGCTGTATTCATGAGTATTCCATGTTGTGACAGAGCGAGGGCTTAATTCTCTTTCTTTATTTACGAAAGTGAATGCACATTGTAGATAAGTGTCAAAGGTACTTCCCCGAAAGGAAATAACAGACAGGAAGTGTTTTCAAACATAACTTTCACTTTCGGTGAACTGATCTCGACCTCTTGTTGACCTTCTGCAGGTACCTGATATATGTCGCTTCCCGTTCCACTCGGGAAACCGAAATGAAGAAACAAAAACTGATTATCGCGATTGTGATTCGGGTACATTTATGAATGAAGTTGTGGTTGGTTCATCATACGGTCTAAGACTCAACCACCACAACGTCGACAGTGAAAACGTCACGGAAGTGACTCTTCGCGCTGTTTTAAAATTCATTCGCTATTTCAAATCTCCCATAATATACTTTTTTGGCTCCTCAAAAGTTTGCGTAATCTCTGTTTTTAATTTCTCCTGGGTATTTCAGTGGCCCCAAGAGAAAACAGTGGGGATAAACAAGGTGTATTATAGGAGATGTGCAAATGGCGAATCTTAGCCTGCCAACGTAGCATTTCCGGTCGTCACTTCTCTCTCTTAAGCAAGAATTGTTTCCGCTAACGTTTCGTTATAAAAAAAATATGAATTTAACAGAGTCAGGTAACATTTTTTTTCTGTAAGCAAGAGTTATTTCTGCTAATGTCGGAGACTGACTTCGAGAAGTTTTGATGTCTATTGTTTGCTATTTTTGACTCCTAAATAAACGGTCGTCGAAATCCCCACACAAACCCGAGAACAACTCTTCCTGCACTAGCTCTACCCGATGTTTTGTCACGTGATTCATCTGAGATCACGGGACATTTTTGATTACTTGAGGAAGTCCGCAAAGCATTATCGTCCCCAGATCCGCGATCTTTTTGCGGGTGGCGCTGGCCAAACTGATCACGGTCTGCGATGCTTAAAAAGGGTGCAAGTAACCGGACTGTCACAAGAAGTCTTTGGTGTCGGATTCATTACGTCGTAAAAGTTACCTTACACTACCTTCTGTTACATCGCTTCGAGATTCATTCTGTCTTGGAACTTTTGCGCACGGCTTTATTATGCTGCCGCCTCGCGAGGCTGCTCGTTGGCAATAAACGGGCTCAACTTTGTCGGAAATGATTATTTACATTATTTTACAAATATTTACAACATTACTACAGTCAACTGTCTATAAGACAAACTTCTAGGAAGTCTAGACATCTGGGCATGGTACCTTCCTTTCTTCAGTGCTGTACTCTTACTTTCTGTAAAGCCGACATCTCTCCTAGACGGACACTCATGTCGGTTCAATTCCAGTGGTGCCCGTCTCGGAGGGATTGACTTATTGTCTTCACGCAACGCTCCTTCCAAGTGACTACCCTAAAAACAGCTGCGACTATTGCGACAGCTGAGACTACGCAACCTACGGATGAGTTAATTATCTGCTAGCAGGTGACTGACTAATCTGTAGGTTGCACGCGCAATGCATGATTTCCAACCACAACAGAAAACATGTTCTGTGCGACGGTGTGTTAGTTGTCGAAAACGTCACTTAAAAAGTGAATTTGCGCTGCCTCAAAACTCATCGCGCTTATTCCATCTAGTTTGATTCTTCAAATGTTGCCAATTTTTTTTTGTACTTGAATTCTAAAGGACTGCATCAAAGTTCAGAAAAAGAAAAAGAAAGTTGTTGTCTTTTGGTCCTGTCCTCGACAAAACGTGAAATTAGGCAGGTTCACGTTGTAGTCGTGTAACGACAGAAGAGAAATGTGCAAAAAAGCGTGATGCACGTGCAAAGTTTTTGTTTTGCTTGTCTAAACCCACTGCTTTTTGCCCTTCTCGTTGCCATAGCCGTCGTTGTCATCGTTGCTTAAACTCCCTATTTTCTTCTAAACAATGTGTAATAAAACAATTATTAGATTCGGCTTTTGTGATATCCGGAATAATCAAGGTCTCGGTAAGTGTTATCAGCTTTGACCTTTTGGCTCGGCTGATAACACTTTCTTTTACCTCGACCTTGATTATTCCGAATATCACAAAAACCACATCCAATATTTATTTGTTGTCAACATCATTGTCATGCCTTAATCATCATTATCAGCTGTTATTATTATTCACAACATTATCGGCTTCTTAAATCATCCGTTATTCTAATGGAAACCTGAAACTAAATTGCGCAAAATGGTATAGTAAATATCATAATAAATATTATGCTTAGTTATCTGTTTGACTGGTTTGACCAGTACTTTCGCTACGAAGTCCTTTTTCTGTGCAATCCTTCCGCTACAACGTTAACTAGGCATTCTATAAGCATGATAAGAAACTTATGGTCCGTGTCCGTTGCTCTTTGTTCCTCCTCAAGAGAGGAGCGCGGGGTCATTTCCCAAACAGCGGCTTGCAATTGAACCTATGGAGCGTTTTCACATGACGTCACGCGTTTGTGTTCCAAACCAGTCCTGTGGGAGTCCTGGAGTCCTTTTTTCTTATGAAAACGCTTTCTTTTGTTCCAATAAATTAACATAGATGCTGGTCACGTGAGTGAAAACGCTCTATAAGTAATGAACTTGGGCTGAAAAGTTATGCCGTCATTTGTGTATCACAGTATTCGTGTAAGGAACAAACTGGGACGCAGTACTATCACAGCGTGCATCTATTTCAAAAACAACTGTATAGCGAAATTCGGAATGAACTGAACCAGGAGGCTCCTGACTGAACTGCGTAGCGAAATGACCGGCAATCGCTTAACCTATAACCAGTTGGGAAAAACTACATCGATTAGGTGATAGTAAACAAGTTTGTCCAGCGTTTTTGTCTTCTTTATCGATTTCCTTGTTAATGCCAAGGAGATTCGACGTGAATGTGCTTGAACATCAAATTTACCACCACCACTACAAAGGGACCAAAGAAGGTCAACACCAGGGTCCAGAGAAAACTCACTTCTCTACCAAGAACTGTAATACCAGAAATGCACCTATTGCGGAACCATTTCGTGAAGTCTTTCTTCTCTTGTCGTGTTCTAAAAATCCTGTTAGGGTTTTGCGGTGCTCCATATTTGCTGTCTTCTACCATCTCTAGGACTCTTTTCAAACAACGTTTGAGAACAGACATCTGGTAGAGTGGAAAGGCGTACAGTACCACGTTTTCTGTTATGTCCAACACAGCTGTCACCACGATTTCTTGCGTAGTGATCTTGTACTGATCAACAAGAATCTTTGATATGAGTCCTTCACCTCCAGACATTCCCACGGTGTGATTTGAGGGGGGAAATACAATTAGAATTGTACGTTTGCCGGTTAACCTGTGGATAGGAGTTCACAGCGTAACTTGTTCGTACTAATACTAGCTTTAATTCCGTGGAACCGAGACGTTGTTGTTTATACTATATATACCGGATCGCTTTTCTTAAAGCCGCGAAAAGCCACGGTATCCAGTATAATTTGAACACAGCCTTAGGAATTGTATGAGATTTATAATTAAAACCTACCTGTGAGGAAAAGCCATCAAACTTTTTGACCCAATATTTAAGGTTTGTACGCTGGCCAAAGCGCTCGAAGGTATTTCGTGAACGGTGTGGTTTACCGTTATCACGGTTTCGGCTTTTTCCACGATGGAGAAAATTTCCAGCGCTGATGACAACAAGAGCATGGCTATGTACAAGGTGAGAAAAAAACGGAAGGCCTCTTCTGTCTGTTTGATCAACGTGTTTATCTGTGTGGCTTTGTTACTGGCTTCTTCTTCGCTTGGATAGAGACCGCTTCCAAGCTCGGCTTTGAATTTGTCCACTTCGCAGCACAGAAATAACATCAAGTAAAGAAACGCGTAGAAAATGGGCAGCGAAAAACCGCGACTGGCTGCATAAAAGAAAACATCAAAAGCTACTTGTATGGCTGGGAAGCTGTTATTGGTCCCCGTGATCTTTCCATCTGTGTATCTTGGCACTGGCAAAAATTCTGGCATCAACATTTGCGTGGCGTGCAAACTTATTGGGACGACAAATAGCCAAAGCACAGAATTTACCACGAAAACAGAGATCGAGTGGGACGAAGCTCTTCTGCGTACCTAGATATTGAAAAAACAATTGCGAAATGACTAAATTAGGTGCCTAGTAATAAAGAAAACGTCTTGCCTTTAATTTAATTCCGTAAAACAAAACGCGAACAGCACAAGGATATTCCAATAGTGGATGAGTCAGTCTTTGAAAGGGCAGAACCCTCTTTCTGGCGTAATATATCCTCGGAGACTTGGGGGCAGTTAGTTGGTCTGCCTTAGTTGCGTCAGGGAAAACGGCAGCGAAAGTTTTCAAGAACGGGCGAGAGGGCCCCTGGGATACTACTCTTAACGAACCAGTTCCACGACTTATCTAGTCTGTGATTACCGCAAGGTACTACTCAATAGCTTTTATTTGAATGGTCACGCTGAGGATTACATCCACCGACTCGAAAGTTAGAACCACCTTGTACAGCATAATAAACAGTACCACAAGAAAGTACTGCTCAGTAGCTTTCATTTGAATGGTTACACTTTAGGATTTCATCCACAGACTCAAAAGTTAGAGCCACCTTGTACGGCATAATAAATAGTACCACAGGAAAGTACTGCTCAGTAGCTTTCACTTGAATTGTCACACTTAATGATTTCATCCAAAGACTCAAAGTTAGAGCCACTTTTTATTACAAGTATTACGAGAATTCTATTTCGTAAAGCTTATTTGTAGAAATCTATACACTTTATTTTCCACATGTGAGAAAAGCTTGTACAGCCAATCAGAATGGCGTACATGCAGCTGTTTTCACATGTGGAAGCATAACCAATCCAGGGCCGTAGCCAGGAAGAAACTACAACCGAGGCGAACACACGGTCCGTTGTACGAAATCAGCCGTATGAAATCTTCTAATATTATCAGTCTGATAAAAAAAATAAAAATCGACAGTATTTGGTAAAATTTTACCGAGGCGAGTGCCTCGGTTCGCCTCATACTGGCTACGGCGGTGCAATCAACGACAGCATAAATGCCTTTCTGAGCCAAATCAGAGTAGTTCATCGTTTATGGCTTTCCAGATTTGGTGGCTTTCTAGCGACGCCTCCAAATTTATTAACACAAAATGCCGGGAACGAAGGTAAACTATAACAGGTTTTTGTCGGTTGGTTGCTCCTTAGAAGAGTTTGTGTAGCATCAAAAAAAAACAACAACAACAACAAGAACACATAAAGCAAAACACAGAGAGATGTTTCGTTGTTGATAAAGTAGTTAGTTTGAAGGAGCGAGCTGTGAGAGTTGGAAAATAATGATACAAGAGATCTCGACGTGTTAATCGCCAATTTTCTACTTCAATCGAAAGAAAGACGGCGAACAATAATACGAGCCCACATCGTTGAGGTCTGTGACGTACTTAGATTAAACTTTTGTAAGTGCATTTTCTGTTCAGCACGACCTTTATTCATTTTTCGATGAGGACTTAGAATGTGTTAAGAGATTTGCCATTACTATTAAATTTTCATTTGGTTCTACTATTTGTGATTTGCTGTTACTAATATGTGTTACATTAAGAAAACTATTTCAGTGAAAATTCTCGTGATATGTGTAATAAACAGCTCACGTCATAGAAAGTCCTTTGTATGGGGTTATATTCACGAGTTGTTTGTGTCAAAACCCCGGACTGCGAGCAGTCTCTTATTTTTCTTTGCAAAGTTACTGCACGCCAAACCTAAGCACGCGAGCGGCGAGGCCGCTTGTCGCGTATCGTGGTTTGCAATCGCGCTGGATGAGATAAGAACTGGACGGATTTTAAGAGAAAAGGCGGACTGCAAGCAGTCTACAAAACCCGAACGAGCGAGGTACGAGCGAGTGAGGGCTTTTGACACAAACAACTCGTGAATATAACCCCGTATAAAGCACCTTCTATGACGTGAGCTGTTTATTACACATATCACGAGAAAGTTAGAACCATGCACCTTGTATAGCGTAATAAACAATACCACAGGAAAGTATTGCGCCGTAGCTTCCACTTGAATTAANCCCCCCCCCCCCCCCCCCACTTCCCCGTTCCCGGGAAACTTACCTCATCCTTGGTGATGCTTAGCCGCTCCAGAAGCTTTTCAAAGTTGCCAAACAAGAAAAATAGGAGTCCCGTGTGGTGATTTACTATCCAACATAAACCGTGAGCCATGTTCTTGATGTCTGTTAGCGGGCACAGCCAATCGACTTCCTCAATGGTTCGCAGTGTGAAAAATCCCATCGAGTACAGGAAGTAGGACCACATTATGAGCACAACTAACACCTGCCAAATGGCGTATGCGATTCTACATAGTTTTCGTGGAAGGTTGTTCTTTGTGATAAACTCTTCTGCAGGCCAAAACCACTGCCCAGCGAAGAAGAAGTATGAGCGAGTGCAGCAATGTAGCAGCGCCCTGGCGTTGGGTTCTGTCAAGAGAGAATGATCATTCTCTCTTGGTTCTGTTGTATCGGGATCATCGTCCTGTATATTTAAGACTGTAGATGGGCTTTGCTCTTTGGATAATCGACGACAGCAACTCATTGTCGATCTTGCCTCTCACATTAAAACAATGTCGTAGTTCCACTAAATGCGACAGTGCCGGCTTGATTTGTTTTGAAGGGGTTTTTCCCGAATTAGTTTCCTAGACGCCCACTGGTTCGTTTCGTTTGTTTTGACGAACACATTTCTTAGAAATCAGACAACAAAGAACTTTTTGTTAATGGAGTGAACCCAGGATAAATTTCATAAGAAAGTTAAATAAATGTTTTGTATACGATCATCCGGTTGAGTGCATTCCCGAATAGGTCTGAACGTGGCCTGTGCGAAAGTTATCATCGTTGCATGGTCTTCGTCGTCATCGTCATCACCATCATCATCATCGTCATCATTTTGTTTGTCATGTTATGAAACTTTTAATCGTAAAGCTGACTATATAACTTCACCTAACTGCCAACCAGCAAGCCGAGCGAAGACGGTCGGCTTGGGAGGCGGCCGCTTAATGCCACGCGAAGTATTGCAGCAGGCAGAAAAATTCTCGATCGTGCTGTGAAAAGTGTAATGTAAGGTGTAGATTCCCTGGGGATTTTAGTAGCGTTAGATTTCACATTCAGTTTGGTTCAAAAATGTCTAAGCAGAAGAATAAGAGCGATTTTAAGGCCAAGAGCATCGCAGAAATGTAGGAACAGGGAGTGCTTGTAGTGGAAGTTCTCGGCTCAACAGCTGGCAGCCTCAGTAGCTGAAATGGTTTTATAAAGATTGGAACTAAAACCGGTGATTTAGGCAAATTCTTTTTTTTTGTAGGCACCTAGCGAAAGCTATAACTAGTTTATAAGCCTTGACTTCCAGTCAAGTAATTTCACTCGTCTTCAAGCAATACATTGATTTTTTACCGACTATATGCAGTTTTATAATACCATTTTATTTCCTGAAGCTATTTATTAAACATCTGTACCGCTTATCCGTAACATGGGAAGACTTAGGAGAAGGAAAGGTAGCCTGTTATCAAAGCAGTCAAACTCCGCTTTTCAGTACCGACACCTCGTTATTACGGACACTTTGCTTTGTCCCTGTCAAAACAAGCCATACATTTTCTCTAAATTCAATCCCTTAATACAGACACCCCGTTAAAACAGACTCTCTCTATGGCCCCCTCAGTGCCGTCCGTATCAACGGGCTTTGGCTGTATATCCTTACACGCTTGAAACGGTATTCATGATAAAATTTATTCAGTGGTAAACAGCGATCAGGCGTTACTGTCTATTGTCGCGCTGTGTTATTTCTTTTGTGGTAAAAAGTTATTTATGAGTTATTCATGTTGTGTCAGAGCAAGGGCTTAATACTCTTTCGTTTTTGACGAAAATGAATGTACAGTGTAAATAAATGTGAATGGTACTTTCTTGAAAGGAAATAACAGACAGGAAGTTTTATTCAAACATAACTTTCACTTTCGGTGAACTGAACTCGACTTCCTGTTGACCTTTTGCAGTTACCTGATACAGCTGCCATACAGCTGCCCGTTCGATCGGCATGGGAAACCGAAATGATAGACTACAAGTAGTCCCCCATTTTTCCTCAGGGATAGTAGAGCGAGCGAAACGCGAGCGCGCGTGAAAATCACCCCACGCGAGAAAAGGCGACACGCAGCTGTGAAAGGTCAAAAGCTTGGGCTTTGTCCTGTAGTCCCTCATTTTTCTCTCTCCCCGCCGCGTGTCGCCTTTTCTCGCGTGGGGTGATTTTCACGCGCGCTCGCGTTTCGCTCGCTCTACTATCCCTGAGGAAAAATGGGGGACTACTCGTAGAAATCTTCTAATATTATCAGTCTGATAAAAAAAATAAAAATCGACAGTATTTGGTAAAATTTTACCGAGGCGAGTGCCTCGGTTCGCCTCATACTGGCTACGGCGGTGCAATCAACGACAGCATAAATGCCTTTCTGAGCCAAATCAGAGTAGTTCATCGTTTATGGCTTTCCAGATTTGGTGGCTTTCTAGCGACGCCTCCAAATTTATTAACACAAAATGCCGGGAACGAAGGTAAACTATAACAGGTTTTTGTCGGTTGGTTGCTCCTTAGAAGAGTTTGTGTAGCATCAAAAAAAAACAACAACAACAACAAGAACACATAAAGCAAAACACAGAGAGATGTTTCGTTGTTGATAAAGTAGTTAGTTTGAAGGAGCGAGCTGTGAGAGTTGGAAAATAATGATACAAGAGATCTCGACGTGTTAATCGCCAATTTTCTACTTCAATCGAAAGAAAGACGGCGAACAATAATACGAGCCCACATCGTTGAGGTCTGTGACGTACTTAGATTAAACTTTTGTAAGTGCATTTTCTGTTCAGCACGACCTTTATTCATTTTTCGATGAGGACTTAGAATGTGTTAAGAGATTTGCCATTACTATTAAATTTTCATTTGGTTCTACTATTTGTGATTTGCTGTTACTAATATGTGTTACATTAAGAAAACTATTTCAGTGAAAATTCTCGTGATATGTGTAATAAACAGCTCACGTCATAGAAAGTCCTTTGTATGGGGTTATATTCACGAGTTGTTTGTGTCAAAACCCCGGACTGCGAGCAGTCTCTTATTTTTCTTTGCAAAGTTACTGCACGCCAAACCTAAGCACGCGAGCGGCGAGGCCGCTTGTCGCGTATCGTGGTTTGCAATCGCGCTGGATGAGATAAGAACTGGACGGATTTTAAGAGAAAAGGCGGACTGCAAGCAGTCTACAAAACCCGAACGAGCGAGGTACGAGCGAGTGAGGGCTTTTGACACAAACAACTCGTGAATATAACCCCGTATAAAGCACCTTCTATGACGTGAGCTGTTTATTACACATATCACGAGAAAGTTAGAACCATGCACCTTGTATAGCGTAATAAACAATACCACAGGAAAGTATTGCGCCGTAGCTTCCACTTGAATTAATGTTTACGACTGTCTCGATATCTTTAGATTTTCCTTTGTAGCATATTTAACAGTAGTATCAGCTGTAGTATCACCAACTGAGAAGCCTTAGTCTGGATTAGGATTTCACTTAAAGGGGTTAAAGCAACTCAGTTGTGAAGCATAATTTACATTTCCCTAGGAATGCACCCCAGGCCATTCCCTTCTTCTTCCCTGATTCCTCCCCTGATTCCTCCCCCCCCCCCCCCCCCCCCCCCCCCCCCCCCCC